GATATCAGTAGTATCGTACATACCAGGATATCGGTAGTATCGTACATACCAGGATATCGATAGTATCGTACATACCAGGATATCGATAGTATCGTACATACCAGGATATCAGTAGTATCGTACATACCAGGATATCGATAGTATCGTACATACCAGGATATCGATAGTATCGTACATACCAGGATATCGATAGTATCGTACATACCAGGATATCAGTAGTATCGTACATACCAGGATATCAGTAGTATTGTTCATACCAGGATATCAGTAGTATCGTACATACCAGGATATTGGTAGTATTGTTCATACCAGAATATTGGTAGTATTGTTCATACCAGGATATTGATAGTATCGTACATACCAGGATATCGGTAGTATCGTACATACCAGGATATTGGTAGTATTGTTCATACCAGGATATCAGTAGTATCGTACATACCAGGATATCGGTAGTATCGTACATACCAGGATATCGATAGTATCGTACATACCAGGATATCAGTAGTATCGTACATACCAGGATATTGGTAGTATTGTTCATACCAGGATATTGGTAGTATCGTACATACCAGGATATCGATAGTATCGTACATACCAGGATATCGATAATATCGTACATACCAAGATATCGATAGTATCGTACATACCAGGATATCAGTAGTATCGTACATACCAGGATATTGGTAGTATTGTTCATACCAGGATATCGATAGTATCGTACATATCAGGATATCGATAGTATCGTACATACCAGGATATCGATAGTATCGTACATATCAGGATATCGATAGTATCGTACATACCAGGATATCGGTAGTATCGTACATACCAGGATATCGATAGTATCGTACATACCAGGATATCAGTAGTATCGTACATACCAGGATATCGATAATATCGTACATACCAGGATATCAATAGTATTGTACATATTAGGATATCGGTAGTATCGTACATACCAGGATATCGATAGTATCGTACATACCTGGATATCAGTAGTATCGTACATACCAGGATATCAGTAGTATCGTACATACCAGGATATTGATAGTATCGTACATACCAGGTTACAGGTAGTATCGTACATACCAGGATATTGATAGTATCATACATACCAGGATATTGGTAGTATTGTTCATACCAGGATATTGATAGTATCATACATACCAGGATATTGATAGTATCATACATACCAGGATATTGGTAGTATTGTTCATACCAGGATATTGGTAGTATTGTTCATACCAGGATATTGGTAGTATTGTACATATCAGGATATCGATAGTATCGTACATACCAGGATATCGGTAGTATCGTACATACTAGGATATCGGTAGTATCGTACATACCAGGATATCAGTAGTATCGTACATACCAGGATATCGATAATATCGTACATACCAGGATATCAATAGTATTGTACATATTAGGATATCGGTAGTATCGTACATACCAGGATATCGATAGTAACGTACATACCAGGATATCGATAGTATCGTACATACCTGGATATCAGTAGTATCGTACATACCAGGATATCAGTAGTATCGTACATACCAGGATATTGATAGTATCGTACATACCAGGTTACAGGTAGTATCGTACATACCAGGATATCGATAGTATCGTACATACCAGGATATCGATAGTATCGTACATACCAGGATATCGGTAGTATCGTACATACCAGGATATCGATAGTAACGTACATACCAGGATATCGATAGTATCGTACATACCTGGATATCAGTAGTATCGTACATACCAGGATATCGATAGTATCGTACATACCAGGATATCAGTAGTATCGTACATACCAGGATATCGATAGTATCGTACATACCAGGATATCGATAGTATCGTACATACCAGGATATCGGTAGTATCGTACATACTAGGATATCGGTAGTATCGTACATACCAGGATATCAGTAGTATTGTACATACCAGGATATCAGTAGTATTGTTCATACCAGGATATCAGTAGTATTGTTCATACCAGGATATCAGTAGTATTGTACATACCAGGATATCAGTAGTATTGTTCATACCAGGATATCAGTAGTATTGTTCATACCAGGATATCAGTAGTATCGTACATACCAGAATACCAATAGTATCATACAACCCACATTTTACATACACATGTACCTCTTTACAGTCTTCTTTAATGCATCTAGTTTTCATTCTCAGATCAAACCACCTGACAGTACAGTCCTCACCACATGACAGGAAAGTATAGGAATCATTTGGCACAACCATAATCTGATGATTCAAGTAACAGTAAATCACATCTAATCAAAAGTAATTAAATGAATATTGTAATAAACAGATAATTTCTAAAAAATGCTACTAATTAATTCTTTTAATTTGAATTTAAATACTAGCTTACTGTATAATGCAAGATAAAGTTAGGTGACTGCAATTTACAGTAAGTGTGTGACACATTGTACATTGTAGTCTTAGTATACACAGTATGTATATGTATCATATTTTGGGGAAATCAAAATGAGAAATTTTAATATGATGACAATTTGTGACATCTACTTACTTACTACACAGTGGAAGTAATATTTAACCTAATGACAGACTTTGAAAGTGAGTAAACATGGATGGTTGATTAGGCTGCAAACCTGTGAAGATAACTAAAGTTAAAACTTACTTCATATGTTGTACCATAGTGACAATTAAACAATCTAGTACCATAGAGGTCTTCTCTCTCCACTTCATTGTAAGCAATTCTCCCATCACCAGAACAAGAAATAACCTGAAAAGAGATAAACAAGTTAGATCATAGTCACATGACATAAACAGTGACCGAGTGAAAGCAAGAGATGAGTTTTATGATTCTGTGAATTATAAATAACAGTATGTGTAACACATCAAGGCGTTTAATTCCCAAAAAAGAAATATGATGAAACCAAGCAATAGAAATCACAACATACATGGTTCTAAATGGTGTTTTCAGTTAGTACCATGACACATAATGTGACTGGAAAGATAACATAAAATCTCACCTGTTTATTCCTAGAGTTTGGGATGAATCTTGCACTGAATATATTAGCATTATGCCCAGAACGAATCTCAGCAACTGGTTTACTGGTATGTGCATTTGTGACACATAACTTTCTGTCATCTGATCCTGATAATATATAGTCACCATTGTCACTCCAGCATATAGTGTTCACCTAAAACAATCAGAAATGTTCTCAGGTACTTAAGATTATGACAGTCAATCTGCAATCCTTCATCCATATATGATCTATGTACTAAATTTGAATGAAAACTGACAAAGCATGTCCAAAATACGACATTTTCAAAAAACAAGATGCCTGCCAGTCGGCCATCTTTGATCTAATTGTGAAATAAATCGTCATGGACATGTATCCTAAAATATATAATCTATGTACCAAGTTTGAATGACAACTGACAAAGCATGTCCAAAATACAACATTTTCAAAAAACTAGATGGCTGCCAGTCGGCCATCTTTGATCCAATTGTGAAATAAATCGTCATGGACATGTATCCTAACATATATAATCTATGTACCAAGTTTGAATGACAACTGACAAAGCATGTCCAAAATACAACATTTTCAAAAAACAAGATGGCTTCCAGTCGGCCATTTTGAATCGAATCGCTAAACCACTGCATGTGCATATTCCCACATAAAGTACTAGGCACATGCAAAGAATGAACGGAATCGGTCCAAGGGATTCTGAGATACGACTCCTAACGGATGCACGGACGGAGACCGAATTATAAGTCCCCGTTTTCGGACTTCGTCCGAAAGGGGACTAATAATAAAATACATGGTATTCATATTGGTCCAAATGAAGTGAAATACACTGCTTATGCAGATGATGTCACCACTTTTGTTCAAAACTTGGCTTCTGCTACGGAACTATTTAGCAAATTGGACTGTTTTAGTGCTGTATCTGGGCTGAAGGTAAATGTGGATAAAACGGAAGCAATGTGGATAGGTAGCTGGAGACACCGAAAAGATGAACCTTTAAAATTAAAATGGTGTTCAGATTGTGTTAAAATTGTCGGTATATATTTTTAATATAACGAGGATCTTGCGACTTCAATGAATTGTGAAAAATATCTTGTGTCAGTTGGAAAGCTTTTAAATTTTTGGGTTTGTCGAAATTTATCTTTACTCGGTGAAATACAAGTTATTAGATCTTTAGTTATTTCCAAACTACTGTATACTTTTAACCTTATTTCTGTTCCTAAATCAGTATTAGTTAAACTCAACTCAATGTTTCATAGTTTCTTCTGGAACGGTCCTGATAAGATCGCCAGAAACACTGTGAATGGTAATATGTTAAAGGAGGGTTTGGCTATGCCTGATTTATTGAGCATGTGTGTTGGAGCAAAAGCAAATTGGGTTAAAAAGTACTTTGATAAAAATTACCATCCATGGAAATATGTTTTTGATTGGTATCTTAATTCGGTAGGTGGAGCAAATTTGTTGGAACAAACAGTGGTAATTTTAATAGGCAAATGTTACCGATAAACTTGCCACCCTTTTACGAGTCTGTTCTTCATGCATGGTCGTCAGTAAATTTACATAAACCCCCGGAAAATCTTCAAGAAATCGCAAGTGAGATTATTTGGAACAATCAAAATATTATTATTCAAGGAAAATTTATCTTTTATAGAGAATTTTATAACATAGGTTTAGTTTATATTACAGATTTATATGATAAGAATAGTAAAATTCTGTCTTGGGATCTATTGGTTAATCGTTTTTTAAAATAATTTTTTAAAATGGTTTGGTCTTGTGGATGCAATTCCGAAAACTTGGCATATTAAATGTTCTTATGTTCTTGTTCCTAGTGATGGTAAAATTATAGTTATTAGCAAAATGTCTATGAGAATATTTACCCAAATACTAGTTAAAAGGAACCCCCCCCCCCGAAAAGCGAAATATACTACAAAAATGTGTTTCCTACTTTAACTTTAGACTTGAAAAAAATTGTATGCACTTTCGTACAAGGTTACAATACTTTTCAAGTCACATGTGTTTTGTTGTAAAATTTTGAGGAATATTCTATATATTAATTTTTATTTAAAATGTCCCCAGCTTATGCATCATCTCCCCTGTGTACTTTTTGTAAAAAAAAAACAGATGAAACTTTACTACATTTATTTGTAGACTGCCAATATTCAAAGGAGCTTTGGGGTAAAGTATTTCATAACTGGGGCAAATTTTTAAATCTAGACAGTCTTCCAGATAAACATCAATTACTACTTGGGGATGGAAATTTAGTACTATTACAAATCAGGTTATATTACTTGCTAAACGGGCTATATACACTGCTAGGTGCCAAGATACCTCACCCATTTTCATAGTATTAAAACATTTAGTGTTGAATATTTATAAAATTGATAAATATATTGCAACTCGTAAAAATATTGAGGAGCATCATGTTAATAACTGGGGTGATTTTCCAGTTGAATAAGTAAAATTTTATGTTCTTTACTCTGATAATTTGTTGTATTTGTGATTGTGTTGTACTTATTAGTTTTGTTTCCTTTTCATGTAATGTTAATTGAATAAAAAAAAAAAAAGGAATATAATTATGATGATTGTTTAACATTAAAAAGATTGACATTTGTTTGTGATCGTCAAACAAGTACTTGTCCATATTGGGAGATATTGCTCTGGAATAGCATTAATTAAAACAAAATCAGCCATTTTGAATACATGTATATATCTATAACATGATGTATAACGAATATATAAAATTTGAACATAATCAGTCAAAGCATGTCAGAGATAAGGCTCTAGAAGCCCAATCATTTAAAAAAAATGGCCGCCAGTCAGCCATTTTGAATCCGATCTGAAAAATAAAAATATGTGCATCAGGAACCTATAATGTCTAATGTATATACTAAGTTTGAACGAAATCCATTCATAAATGCCAGAAATGCTTGATATTTGATGATTTTTTAGCACAAAAATGGCCACCATTCGGCCATTTTGAATAGGATTGTCAAACCAATATATCTGTATATCTATGACATGATGTAGAATGAATATTAAAAATTTGAACATAATCAGTCAAAACAAGTCAAAGATATGGGTCTAGAAGCCCATTCATTAAAACAAAATGGACGCCAGTCAGTCATTTTGAATTTGATCTGAAAAATAAAATTGTTTGCATCAAGGTCGTACCCGATTCGGCTGATACCCCGGGGGCCCATCTTAAACCCCGCCCATGGGCGATGTTTCAAATAGTGGGCGATGTTTTGGTTCACACATTGCCTGACTGAACTAACAAACATTTTTACAGACCCCAATTTTCCTCTCTGACATCTTGCATCGAGCGTGCTATTTCAAATATGACGCTAAAAATAATTCACTGTGAAGTCGAAACGCCTAAAAATCCAATGCTGTAGACGAATTGTTGTTGCGTGAAAAAATGGTATATGCTTGTATTTTATGCAAGTATTTATCATCAATTTCAAGAGTAAGAGTCATAACTTTACATTTCATTTACGTTCATTACACTCAAATAAAGTCTATGCCTGAAAAGAATGCTATTAACGAAGTTAAAATAGCCAAGCCTTCCTGATTCGAGCCTATTGGTTGATTTGACAACGGTAAGTATCATTAATGTTTAATCTTTGTCTGTATCGCATTCCAGACAAAAAGTTCAAGATCGGTAAACAAGAAATGGGTGAACTAAAATGTCTCCTGCGTTTCACATTCAACATAATTATTAAACAAGCAGCCTCTCGGCTGAGATAGCTCCGCTGTTAGCAATGCACATTTCAATTAAAGAACAGAAGATATCATTAGAAAATGAACAATAAGCAAAGTATCAATGCAATGGGACTTGCTGTTTTCAACAAGAATTCAAAAATATCACTTTTGACCATAGATGATTGTGGATTTTAACAAGAAGAAAATATCACTTTTTACCAAAAATGACAAAAATATTCATCAAAATTAGAAAATTAAAGATATCATTATGAAATGAACAAATTTGAAAGTGGTTCATATGTAGTATCTATATATGTAATATCAAAGCAATTGGACTTGCGGTTTCTAACAAGAAGTTGAAAATATCACTTTTTACGAAATAATGACAAAAATATT